TGCAGAGGGTTTAAATAGGCAAGACTCCTAGTTGGCTTGCAGGTATGGCAACTAGTGTAGAACTTATATAGTAATGTATAAGCGGACTACTTAAATTAGATACCAAAAGTGTACGTATGACTAGTTGTAACCTCCAATGTAAGGTGAGCCTCTGGTGGCATGCTGTGTCCTAATATACTTGAATAAAAACATTGCTACTCCCAAGATAGGAACTTTAACTTAAAAAAAAAATATATATATACCATATATTTAAAAAAAAATTAAATATAAAAATACTTGTTTTTTGTTGCTTATATTTAATATTGATTTAATCTTTTAGTATAAAAATATTTAATATAAATTGCCCATTGTTATGCTTTTATATTGATTTAACTTATTTATACTATGTTTATTGAATTTTCTATATATATTCAAAACTCTTTTAAGAATATCAGTAGTCCAAATCTAATTATTAATATATTAAAAATAAAAGAAAAAAAATCTTACATCTATTTATAAATGTCTTGATATATTTGAAAATGATACTTGAATTTGCAAAACCTATAATAAAGATAAAAATACTATAGATAAATGAAGCTTATCTATGTTATTATTGACAGTAACTCATTATTTTGAATAAAAATACCCAAATATCTTTAAAGAATTTTAGTTTATTATAAAATTTATTTACCCTTCTCTATATTCAGTTGTTAATAAATATAATATAGAATTATTAAATTAATTTCTATTAAAATTTATTATAATTAGTCAACAACCTTTTTCACTTTTGAATGAGAACTATTTTATTAAATTTATTTCTACTTTAAATCTGTACTATAAAATTTCTTGTTATCAAAACATTTCTAAAGATATTAAAAAACAATTTAAATTAAATAAAATAAAATTAAAAGTTTTTTAAAAAATAATAAAAGCAAACTAACTTTTATTATATCTATGTAAACTGTATGCACTTAATAGCTCTTCTTTAAAGCAACCATCTATTGGGTCAATATTGAATAAATAATGTGTATTATTTGCTTTAACTTTATTTTTTTATATAATTCTCATATAGATAATTAACTTAAAGAAAAAATACTTAATCTTATAAAGAACTTTAAGATTAAGAATAATATTATCAAGTTGATTGAAGAATATATGAAATAATCAAATCTGTTTGCATTATCTCCAGCAAAATATGAACTTTGAACTTATATATATACATTGTGCTATACATGTTCTAAAGCTTATTGTAAAAGAAAATCAAAAACTTTATAAAAATCAAATAAAAATATACAACATTTTTGTAATAAAATTAGAAATTCTCTATTGATCCTAAAAGATATTAAAAAAATATCTACTAATCTAAATTATCTTTCTCTATATCTTAAACTCAACATTAACACAAAATGGAATTTTATATATTTTAAATTGGAACAATTTATTAAAATTAAAAAAATTATTAATGGTCTTGTGCAATTATATCCTTATCTAAAAAATAAATATCTAAAATCAAATGATTAAAAAATAATTAAAAACATTTTAAAATTTCTTAAATCTTTTTATTATACAACATTAATATCTTCAAATGTTTCAAAACCTTCCTTTGGGTTTTTGCAGATAATTATTTAAAACCTTTTTGTATACTTAAATTACTATATTTATATATATAATAATAATGCATATATAAAATAACAAAAAGGATGAATATAAAGTTGGAAATTTATTGATCTTATCTTTTAAAATCTTTAATGATTCCTGCACTTCTAGATCTGTCAACTAAATTAGAAACCTTTGACAAAAAGGATCACTTAATAACTATAAACTAATTAAAAATATTATATTCAATATATTATAGTAATAAAATGATTATATCACCTAAACAAGAAATTCATTAGATAGTTTTCTTAAATTAGTTCAATTAAATAAAAATGAAACAGTAAGAGATTTAACAAATGAACTAGCTACTTAACTTGCATTACCTTCAGAACCAGATAATAATCCATTAACTTGATGAAAGCATAAGTCTTCTTATTTTCCAGCTATAGCTTCTATCGTGACTGACTACTACGCACTTCAAGCTACAAGTGTTCCATGTGAGCATGCCTTTTCTGTCGTGAAACATACAATTAATCTTACACAAAACCGTCTTCTAGAAAAATGACTAGAGCTTCACTGTGCTTAAAAAACTGGATGGAATCTAGTATTTTAGAATAAATTAAATATTGTCAATTATTGTTTAATTATAACAACGATAATAAATAAAAAAATAAAAATCAAGTATATAACAGATAACAATAATTAGCGTAAAATTGGTTTTTTTGAATCGCGCATTTACTTGAATATTATTGGTGACATTAAAATTTCACATGATATAGGACTCGGTCCCAAGTCTGACTTGGACCGAGTCTAAATTGAAACTCGACTTTTGGAGTCGAGTCGGGACCGGACCGGACTTTTCACATCCCTAGTTGCGAGTATATATTAATAGTAAATATCACCCGCGTGATGCCGGTTAAATGGGGCTGTCAGTAAAATGGGTGTCGGCAAACAGGAGCGACCGTTCAAATTCAACTAATCGTATCTCAAATTTTAGTAAATCGGCTGATCTGATTGTAAAAAAAAAAAAAGCTGTGATTCACGAGGTTCAGAGAATATGTTATAAGGCGAAGTGAAGGCATGAATTCATCCGTTAAACTTATCCTCGTTACATAGAAAGTTAAGCTACTCGAGCTTTTAAAAGAAGTATTATAAAACGTATAAAAAAATGATTTATCAGTTGTGTAACAATTTCGAATTTGAACGGTCGCTCGGCATAATAGGGTGAAACCGTCAGCGAGAACAGTAAACGTTCTGCTCAAGTGAGGTTCGGAATTTTTAAATAGAATAAAAATAATGTGTATTAGTTGTGTTGTTTAAAAAACAAAAACTTTAAAGCAGTAACTTTGTGTTACATATTTACATAGATAGAATCACCTCTAAAGTAAGTCGGATCTTAAACGCTAATTAATCTTTTAAAATTTTAAGATGGTTGTTAGAATAATTAATTTTTTGTATTTTAGGTCGAGAAAATCTTGTAAAAAATATCAAATATGAAAATTTGTGCAAGTGTTTTTTACGATAGAAATAATTAACAAATCAAAACAAACTTGATTTTAATAGATCCCAAAAATAGATGATAAAAATAGAATCGTGAATAAAACAGGTAAAACGAGATATACAGGTCAACCTCGTTAATATCAACCTATTTGAATTGGTTTTAAAACATGTTGATGGTGATATTAATGAGAAATAATATTAAAGTTGACATATAAGAGGGAATTTTGATATATAAAAATTTGCCATGTGGCTTAGGTTGATATTAATGGGTGATATTGACGAGGGTGACATGTACCTTTATTTATTGTTAAAATCATAGCGATAGTTAAGTTTTTTGGAATTTACTAATTTCCCCCACCACTTTTGATTGGTTCTATTAATTATTCACATATTGGAGTATCTGTGTTATTAATCAATTATATAGCTCTCCGATAGTGAAGTGACGGGGAAATTAGGGCACCCGGTTTTTTGTGGGGGATTTGGTAGATTTCGCTGACACCTATTTCCATTTCATCGACAGCCCACTTTTTTAACGACACATTTCGCCAACAGTCCATTTCTCAACAGCCACTTTACTGACTTACTTCCTCGGCAGTCTATTACCTCGACAGTTCATTTCTCTAACAATTCTATTTCGCAGGCTTCTATTTCGGGACCTACCTCTAGCAATTACTAAGCCTAACCCAAAATTGTCGACGAAATGAACTGTCGGGGAAATGGGCTGTCGGGGAAGTCAAGTCTAGAAAGTAGGCTGTTGGGGAAATGTGTTGTCAGAGAAATGAGCTGTCGGTGAAATAGGTGTTGGCGAATTAACTTCAGATTATCTACATAGATCGATATTTTACTACGTATTGCTATAAAAATAATAACGATAATAAAATTGATTGGATATTATGATAATTATTTGCCGTAAAATTAGTTTACGTAGCACACAATTTTTTATAGTAAAATATCTATGCATAAAATGACCTAATATTGCATTATGAACACAATCTATAAAGCATAGCCACTTTGTATATAACACTTTCACTCCTCTTTATGTGTTAGAAAGTTTGAACTTGGAAATAATGGGTGTATTTCCTCAGGGTAAACTACTTACTTGGGAACAAGCGAAACAATACGCTGATCATATTCGTAATCATGGAATAAACCAGTTTTTGTCAATTTATAATAAAGCAAAGGATAGGGAAAATGATAGTTTATTATGGGGTGACGAGGTAATTCATTTAAATGCTTATAAATTGATTTCATAGTATAATGAAAATAATGACATAATAAGGTTCTCTTAGGTTGAATATATGATAATTGTGTATGATGATGAAAACAAGAATGTAAAACTATCATTAAGAGCTCAGGATATTTTAAAAGAACTGCAAAAAGAAGTAGAAGAAGCATTGAGAAAAGGGTACGTTTCTAACGGTGTCTAGTGAATTAAATCATTGAGCATCATTAATTAAATTATATTTTACAGTCAAGTAGTTGATGCATTGTGGCATCCCGAATTTGGAGCATTTATGATCGAAGGTATCGGTTTGATTTGACTTTATTTGATTTAAATTATTATTTGAGTATTTTTAGTTATTTAGTGAATTGTTAATGAATGATTAATTAGGAATACCTGGTATTCCCTACGGAAATTCTCTAAAAAGTTTAACTCTAATTGAACAAAATATGAATCTTAGAAGAAAAATTGCATCTAAATATTTAAACTCAAATGAAAGTATTGTTACTTTAGTCAGCTTCCCACGTCTTGGTTGCTCAGGACAATTCTTAGAGCCTCATCATGAGCCGCTTGGACCTGTCTTAAAAAGTTTATTTTTGCCGGATGAAGCCTTGAATCCATCCGCTAAATTTCAGTATGTAATTTGTAATATATTTGTTCACGCTTTTTTACAAAATGATATATAATTTATGTTAAATGATAAAGAGCAGGAAATGCTGGTGTTATATGTCGTCGAGGATCAAATTCCATTCTTAATGTACCGATTTTTCATGACAAAAAGAGCCAAAATTTATTTATTGACCATGAAGAAGCTTTACCAAATCATATATATATGGATTCGGCAGTTTTTGCATCTGGCTGCTGTTGTCTGCAAACAACCATTCAAGCTTGTAATATTAAAGAAGCTAGGAAACTATATGATCAATTAGCAGTTTTCTGTCCTATTATGGTATTGTACATTTATTGCTACAAAGTTATATACGTATATTTGATTAATATTTATATGCATACGTGCATAGTTGGCATTAACTGCAGCTGCACCAATTTGGAGAGGTTATTTGTCTGACATAGATTGTAGGTGGTTTACACTTGTGAAAACTGCTGATGATCGTACAAAAGAAGAACGGGGTTTAGAGGTTAGATTTTTTATATTTTTATATTATTTTTCAGTAAAATCCTCTCCAAAATTTAATCCAACACTAACTGTAAACGTATGCTGTCTTTCATCATAGCCTCTTAAGAATGATCGATTCTTAATAAATAAGTCACGCTATGATTCGATAGCTTATTATATGTCGGATGATAAGGCTCTAAAGACAGAGTATAATGATTTAAATTCTGCGTATGATCAAAATATTTATAAAAAACTAATAGATAATGGTATGTCTATACTTATAATAAATTTTTAAGTACTGTAATATAAAATTGATAATGATTATAGCATTCATGCACTTTATTACATTTTAGGGGTTGATGGTCTTTTGGCACGTCATATATCCCATTTATTTATCCGTGATCCTCTTTGGGTCTCTGAGGAATCGTTGTTTCAAGATGATGAATCGTTCTTAGATCATTTTGAGGTTGCATTAATAATATATGTAAAATAATATATATATATATATTGTGATAACATTTTACTAATAAATCATTTATAGCACATCAATTCAACAAACTGGTACTCAGTACGTTTCAAACCTCCTCCTGCAAATTCAGATATTGGCTGGCGGGTAGAATTTCGTTGCATGGAAGTTCAAATAACTGATTTTGAAAATGCTGCATTCGTAATTTTCATAGTACTTTTGACTCGCGTTATTCTTAGTTATGACTTGAATTTTTATATACCAATATCAAAGGTTTGTTATTTAACATATTATTAACATTTAAAGCGAAGTTAACAATAATATTTATTTACTAGGTGGATGAAAATATAATTATGGCTTGTAAGAGAGATGCATTAAATACTGAAAAATTTTGGTTCAGAAAAAATGTATTTGCAAATAGTCATGGGATTGAAGGTAATAACCTTAATTATTATATAGTTACAATAACTATAAATCATATTACCATAAATGTGATAAGTACATGCAAACATTGTGGCAAAAGTAGCTAATTTTACTAATTAGTTAATCTATCTGTATAAAGATGAATTTGAACAAATGACTATTAATGAAATTGTAAATGGTAATAAAGTAAGTATTGTGCACTTTATATTTATTATAAATCGATACTTGTGCTAACATTAGCATAATGCGTTCTTTATACTTAGGATAATAAATTTCCGGGGTTATTTAATATGATGCTTCAATACCTTGATTCAGTAAATATTGATATTGAAACAAGATATCATTTGGAAAAGTACCTTGAGTTTGTTGGCATGCGCGCTAGTGGTAATATACCCTATTTTATTTACTTGAATTTCTTTTTAATTAATTATTTTTTTTATGACTTTACAATTTAATTTATAAAATATACAACAATACTATAATAGGCAAAATTCAGACTACAGCAACATGGATAAGAAATTTCGTACGATCTCATCCAAATTATAAACTTGATTCAATAGTATCTCAAGAAATTAATTATGATCTTATAAAAATGATAGAAAAGATACAAAAGGGTCAAGTTATGATGCCTGAATTATTGGGTGAATTTAAAGTTCGTTAACAAATTTTATAGTGTATTTAAGGATGTTACTAAAACGCACTTATGGTATTTTACTATGATTGGTGTGAAGTGTCCTCAATAAAAAATGTTCTATGTTGATTAACTAAAGAAAGGTTGCAATGAAAAAACGAATCTAATCTGGAAATTTGTAGAAACAGCGCAAAGAATTATTTTGTTGAGAAATTTGGTGATTTAATTGGCACAGTGAAGCTTGTGATTTCCATTTATAATTGAAAATATGACTCGCGTCAAATTTTATTTAAATCTTACAAAACTCATTTTAAAAACAGTATATGCTGTTGCATTACAGAAACCTGCAAAATTAAATAGTGACATATTGCTATTATACAACTTTAAAAAAAATTATATAATAACTATATGGGATCTTTGCTAGGAAAATCGGATCCGGTTCATTTCACAGACAGTACTATTCACCGACAATCAATTCACCGACAATCAATTCACCACCAGTACATTTTAACCGACAAGTTTTTTAATAAATTACACTAACCTTAACTCTAATTATAACCAAACTCTGAGGGCACTGACCAGAATTACTTTGTCGGTGAATCGTACTGTCGGGTAAATCACCAACATTTTCCGATCGGTTCTCATTTATATGTAAATTTTCTTTTGCCTTTATTGATTCAATAAACTTTTGAGTCAATAAAAGCAAAAAATGATTAACATGCAAATAAATATTAATATGTTTGGTTCAAGTTTATCTGAATTAGCCCGATCAGAAAATGTTGACTGGTGATTATCTAGCAAGATTCCATATTGTAACTTCAAACATTATAAAAAAATAGTAGGCATATAATAACTTTAAAGCAAATTGCTACTACCAAGTAGAGATTGGATTCGTTAAAACTTTTAACTTCTGGTTACCCACCCGTTTAAAAAACCTTAACCGGGTTACAAACCGGATAACCCATTGTACAAAAAAAATACAAATTTTATGATATGCAATTATTTGCCAAAAATAAGGATTATTTAGTTATTGTAAGCTTTTAAAGCAATAATATAGGAATTTAATTTTAAAATTTTAAAATATTAACAATAATTTAAGTCTTCAAAATAGCAAAAATTATGCATTTTAAAAAGTAATATTGTAAAAGTAATAATATATCAAATATAATCTTATAGAGTACGTATAGATGCAAATCTTTATTATTTGTTAAAGTTTTAATAACCCATGATAAGATAAAATAAATCAATATACATAATGTTAATACTAAATAAATATATGACAAAACTTTATAATTAATATAATATATTGTAATTTTGCAACAAATGTTAAATGATAAATATTTGTAAATATAGTATTACAATATAGTATAAATTATGTAATAAAAAAAACTCTTTCTTATACATTATCAAAATAAACAAACTTAAATAAATAAAATAAAAATATAATATAGAGACCAATACTAAATATAAATAAAGCTAGTCTTAAGTTAATGTGCACATGGTACATAACAGAAAGACAATAAAAAAAGAAATAGAATAAATAAAATAAAAGATTTTTTTACATAATCTTTTAAGAAAAGTTCTAATAAACACAACTGTGTATAGCTTAACAGAAGTAACTTTTAAGCTTCAAAAAACTTGATTTTTAATTAATAATATCAAATGCAGATGCATTATTACTATTATTATGCTTTTTGAAATAAAAAATGAATATCTAGTTTAGTCTTAATAAATCTTAAAATAATATTATTAGTTATATAATAAGTTATAATAATATTAAATTTTATAAGAAAAAATAACAAAATGAGATAATTATATATAAAAATAATAACACAAAAATTACTAAATATAGTGATGCACCTATTTAACTAGATATAAACATAATTAAAAATTAAAATATACTAACAAACAAAAATAATAAAAGAATACAAATAAAAAAAAAAAAAATAGCAATAAAATAACTAATTATATATATAATCTATTACTAGAGTTTTTAAGATTTAAGTTAGAGTTATCAGAGATGTTAATAATAGGAGGTTGATTAGAAATAGGATTAATATTAGTAATTGTAGTAAAAAAAGAATCAATAAGATCAGAAGTAGTAGAAAAAGTTTGGTTTGAGAAGTTAGTATTAGGGTTAATAGTTTAATTAGATTCCAGTAAGATGTTTTGAAAAGTTTAAATAAGGTTTTTTTTAGTTTAAGATGAACTAGCTTTATACTAAGATAAGGCAGTTATACAGATAGGATAGTAGACTTCATTGTTTTTAGTAACATATTTTTCAATAGGATAATGATGCTTATTTCTCTTGGTACAACTAATTGAAACAGAGCATTTTGAACAGGTATGATAGTGTACATTAGGTGTAGCAAATGGAGAACACTGTTAGTAGAAGAAGAGATATTAGATATAAGATCTTGGTTTATTTTGTTAAGTTTTTTGAAGTTGTTATTGATATAAGCAGTAGTAAAATCAGTAGCTTGACTGTGATTAGTATTGGTAGGTAAGATAAATTTAGTGTAATATTTGTCATAAAAGCAAGTAATTACAAAGGTAGAGAAGAGATCTTGAAAAAAATATATAATTTTATATGATCTAAGATTTTTTGTTAAGCAAAAAGTTAGTTAGATTTTAAGAAGAATTGGATAAGTATTGTTGTCATGTTCTTCTTCATAAAGAGTGATTCCAAAACTGTTAGAAAAGTTTTGATAGAAGTAATCAAGATCTACAGTATTAGGCTCTTAATGAGTTAATGTAGGCATTTTGCAATATTTATATATTAAATAAGAGAAAAGAAAGAAAGAATTAAGACTTAGAAAATTTTGCTAAATAATAAATATGATTATAAGTATTAATTTTGCAAGTGTAATAGATAAAAACAAGGGTTGTTTTGTAGAGGTATTACTAAAGTAGTACTAGAGTATAACTAGAATAGTTAGGATCACTACTGTAATTTGAATACTGGATACAACTATAATTTGTAATATAAATTATTGTATAATATAAATAAGAACAAAATATAATAATAATAGATTGTGTTAAATAAATATTTATAAATAGGTTGGTTACAGATGTTGATATAAATTAATAAGATATGGATTTGGAAATGATTGTATAGTTATATAAAAAATATGTAAGAGAAAAAGAGGATAAGATAAGAACAAAAAATAAAAAAAAGTTTTGAAAAAGAATAAATATTGAATTTAGTTATAGTTCAACCAATATTAGGTTAAAAAATCTTTGTTTAGATCTTATTTTGATTGGGTAACTATGTACTACAACTTTAATTAAAAGTATAGAACAGGTTAAGGCAGTAGAAACTATGAGATAATTAAAAGTTATAAACTGGAAGTCAAAGGCTATCAGTATAGTTTTCTTAATAAATTTAAAATATATAAACTTAATATTTGTAAAATATATCTAAAATGATAAACTGAACAAGATTACATTAGAGCATATAATAGGTTGTCTTAATAAAATAAATAATTATAAACATTTTTAAATAAATGAATTTTTTAATTAATTTTTGTACAATCAAGTATATTTTCTATAACAATATATTAAGAGGTATTTATAATCAATGCAATATATAAAACAAACTTATATAAGCTACTTATTATTAATATAGTTGGTGTTCATAATATTAGTAATACAAAAACTTTTAATATATTACAAATTATAATAATATAAATAACAAATAAACAAGAATCTATTTATAAATAATTTTTATTTATTTCAAAAGAAATAATTTATAATATTCTTTTTGTTCTTTAAAGTTATTTGTTTTAGATAAAATTTTAGTTCTTTAAAAAGTAGCAGACAAGGTTTTTTATAAACAAAAAAAATATATATCTTTAATATATATTTACATAGAAACTATGAATCTTAAATAGATAATTTTTTGATTTTAATAATAATAATAATTAATTGTTTAAAAAATTGCTTATGTTAAAAAAATAAATAAAATTAAAAAAACATTTAGTAAAATTGATTAAGTATTAATAAAAATAAAAATCTTCAATATATCTAAAATTATTTTAAAAAATAAAAAAATACAGAATATTTAAATTCATGTTTTTATAAAAAACTATTCATATATACAAATTTAATTAATATAATAAGTAAAAGAAAGTTATAATATTTTTAAAAAATAATAATAGCATCTATTTATTTATATATAATAGTAAAAAAATTGAATTATTGATTAGAAAAATTTCTAAATAGATTAATAAAATTAAAAAAAATATTTAAAATTATAAAGAATAAAAATATAAATAGTAATTTTTATAATTGTAAATTGAAATTAAATTATAAATTATTATATTATTATATTTTTTATTTCTAGAACTTATTTTATTTACTTTTATACTATTAACCTGTAGTTTTTTCTTTAATCACAGTGATAACAAAAACTATTTAACTATAGTATGACAACTATAACTTGACAGATTCTATACAAAGTCTACATAAGATATAACAAAATACAGAGTGATTTGGGATTTTAAGGCAGAGGCAATAATAGATAGTATATGAAGATACTAAATTTTTTTTTTTTTTTTTTTTGTTAAAGATTATATTTGTAATAATATTTTATTGACTTACATCAGATTAGCTATTACAACTATTTTTACAAAGATGAGAGTACAGCTAGTCATATATGCAACTTTTAGTTACCTATTTAAATAGTCTGTCCTAAAGTTCTATACTAAATGCTGTACCTATAATCTACTAGAAGATTATTCATTTAAACCCTCTGATCATTTGCCTTATTATATTAGAATTCCCAATTTACCCCCTGTATATACCTAACTGGTATACCATCTAAGCAGTATAGTTATTTATCTTTTTTGTACTGGTTCCTAGACCATTATATATTTTAGAGTATATCATCTGCCAGTAAGATGCAGTGGGCCCTTTATTGTTAACTATCTACTCACTTTTAGAACACTAACATGGGCTACTCTTACAGAGTTCATCCAGATTCTAGTACTTTTAGTATATCTCTGCTTTGAACCAGACTTCCAATCCAAATAGCCTAGAAGGACTGTGACCTGTCCTTAGTATATTAAGACTAGTTCAATATACTTTTCCTTCAGTCCAAAATCTGGTGGTCTAGTTGGTGGTATCACTTACTCAAAGTTCTTGTATGCCTGAATCCTCAACATTGGTATCTATTTCCTATGTCTAGCCTTTACAGTAGTACTGTCAAGGATCCATGTTATCTCTCTGTTCAGAATTTCCAAGTAGGCTCTGGCTTCTTAGTTTTATGCATTTACATGACCCAAGGACTTATTTTAGGTTTGTACTACTGGTATTGGTTTGCATTCCTCCATGTAACAAGTTACACAGATGCCCTAGACCTGTCAGTTATGTTAGTGCAACTATAGTTACAAGTATTCTATTCCAACTGATCAACAAAATGCTGTCACCATAATATTGTCTATATATTACATAGATGATTATCCAAATTTCACTGTCAGTAGGTTTTGAACTTACAACTTACCACTTGGGAATATAACAACTTATTCATTTCACTAAGTCACTATACTCTTAAGATACTAAATATTACATTCAGTTTATTAATTATAAAATATATGAAAATACTTTTTAAGTATATGAAAATACTTATATGAAGTTATAGAAACACTTAACTTTCTTGAAGTATCAAAAAGCAGTATTTTTATAAATATTTTATATGTATAAATTATTACAATAAAAACTACTCTATTGCTAATAAATGCTATATATAGTAATATTAAGATATATAAGAACTAATATATATAATAGATATAATATATATAAAAGATATAGTAGATATAATAGAAATGATAGATATAATAAATATATAATATCTGTTAAATTTGTTAGATATATTAGATATACTAAATCTAATAGATCTGTTAAAAATATTAGATTTCTGACACAGTAATATGAGCCAATCAGAATCAAGTTATATATATTAAAATTAGTACTTTCATCAAAATCATTCTAATCTCATGATCTTGTAATCAGAATTATATGATCTTGTGCTCGTTAGAATCATCTCGATGAGCTGAATCAAATGGTAGTTGCTTCATCCAAATTGGTTCAGTACATCAAAAATTATGATTAAAAATGTATAAACTCTTAATATTAATAATACATATTTACTAGTATTTAAAAGAAGATTTAATATTTTTAATATTAATATTATTGTTAATTTATATAGCTATTAATAAGACCCATATGAACACAAAAAAAAATAAATACCTTAATGACAGTAAATTAAAAACTATATTTTTAAATCAGAACTAACTAATGTACAATAAATATTTGCTAAGTTCAAGTTAATAATTATGATCAAATTATTTTAATTTTTTATTAAAATATACTTTTAGCTATTATCTTATAAAGCTAAACTAATGACTATTTTATCAACTGTTTTTACTACATCTTATAATTCAAAATCAAAATCTATACAAATTCTTAATTAATTATTACTAATTATTCTAATATTTATATTACACTTCAATTCTAAATTCAATACATAACCTATATTACATATTTCATTAAATGTTATTAAATCTTACAATCTACAGATCAATTTTCATAAAATGCAAGCTTATACTAATATTGCTTTTAATAATTTTGCAGACTTTCTTATCAAAAAACATGACCTTTCTTTTGATTTGTACTTTAACTATATTAATATTTACAATCCACACCATATTCTTTTCTAGGATCAGCATTTTATAGAACATCCAACTAGAATCTTTATTAAAAATATTTACAAAACTTATATTTTAGTTATATAATCATCTCAAAAATGTAATCAAGAATAAAATCAACTTATCTCAGAAATAGTTTGAAGATCTATTTGGTTATATATTAACTATAACCAAAAATCTATACACAATATAATTAACTTTAAACTCAACAATCTCAAATTCTTTAAAATTCAAACTTTACTAAATGAACTCTACATACATTCTCTTTGTCATAAAACACACCTATATATTTTATAATATAAACTGTTTTCACTACAATCTACCTAATGCTTCAACACTTTGACGAACATGCTCTAATTCTGTTTTACTGTCTAATATTATACAAGATACTATCTCTAAACACATTAGTTACAATAAGTTGGACCTTTCTAAATTTCAACAAGAAGAACTTATTTAAAAAATCCAAAGCTATAAGACATTTCACTATATATCATTCAACTACAACTCAATTTGTCTTGACATTATACTTAAAAGAAATATACTCAAATCACTAATTCAAATTATATAAACTTTAATATATCTTACAAATTGGAATTACAAACTATTATTAAAATACTTTTTGATATAATGAATTATGCTATGAACTTCTTTAAAATCCATATTGTATAAATTCTTAAATTGGAAAAAATAACGAGAACGATATCGACGATAATTAAAAGGAAAATTTTTTATAGTGATATCTATGATAAGAGTGATATCTATCAATAACAGAAGGCTTTTGGATCTGGGAACCTAATCATAATTTCTAATTTACGTACTTTGATCAACTTTATGAGATTAAAACAAGGTGAAATCACGAAAAGTAAAAAAACCATATATATGGTCATTTCGGTGCATTAATCAAAAAAGTGGCGGTATGCAATTTTACTTATATATATCTTGCCTAAAACACCAACTTGCTTTATCCTAACCTTAAACTGAGACCCACTAACTCTAATTAAATATATGGACACAAAAGACCTTAGCAATCCCTAAAGATACTGTAAATAAATGAAAATCATAACTTCCACCAAAAAAGGGTTCAAGAAATAGGTATAATTGTTAAAAATTTCTTCGTGTTAGATATAAAAAAAAACTACGTTATGTAATTTATACGTAATTTAAAAAGCAATTTCTATTCGTGCAAAAGGTACATGCAACTTAAATAAAATACAATCATTGGTGCTCTAACAAAAAAAAATTTCGAGAAATTTTAGTATAAACTATACCCTAACCCAGACTTAAACCCAAACTTCAATCAAATTAATTTTTTTTCTTTAATTTTATATCACACGGGCTTACAAATCATATTAGCATATACATAGACTAGTGTATAATAGGAAATTTTCAATTTAAAAATAGTCCTCAATCACAAGATATTTCAGTATCAGTAGGTATACTTTGATTCCAACGAAATAAATTGTATGGATCATATTTTCGTTTAATTTCTACTAGTTTTCCGAAATTTTCTCTATAGTATCTACACTGCCAATTATCCAACAGTCTATCATTTATATTTTGATAACTTTCAAAATTAGCATATTTTCGTCGAAATTGGTGGGAAAATCTTTCCAAATCATGTATACATGCTTCAGAATGCACGAATGCTTTAATTTCTATATGATACAACATTCCTCTGTGAACAAATGCTGTTTCGTTTCGTCCAATCTCACCAACTTTTCCACCGCCAATTAACATAAAATTAAAGAATAGCTTACATCCAAAATTTTTCACAAAATCCATTAAATACTCAACTCCTTCATAAGATATTCCTGTTGGATCAATAAAGAATGATTTTGCTTTATAAAATCCTGGCCCAGATTCTGTAATGCCAAGAATTATATTATTAAATTCATCTTCATTATATGTCACACTTTTAGGTTTGGACATTTTAATAAATTCTTGTATATGGGGTTGCATTTCATATACTGATCCTTGATAAAATCCATGAACTTCGGTTGATGATGTCAATTCGATCACTAATGTTAAATTTTGATGAAGATTACTCCCTAGTTGATTAACTACTGATAATACTAATGGTGTTTGATCGAAATCGTATTCAAAAATAAAATAAGTTACGGTCCTTGGGATAGGATATATTCTGAGGGTTAAGCTTGTAACAATACCATAACCAACATTTCCTGCCCCTCGAATAGCCCAGAAAAGTTCTGGATATTCTTTAACATTGTTAACTATTGTTCCATTTGCTAAAACAATTTGTGCATCAAGAATATTATCTGATGCTAGTCCAAATTTTCGATTGAGAAACCCCACACCCTGTTGAAATATAATGTTAATATTTGTAGGTTTTGTTATTTGGATATCGCAAAGCGAAAACCTAGAATTCTTGATTTTAGACATTTCATTTTCATAAATAGTGATCAGATTCCTGATGGATTATAATAAATTCTATGATAAATTCTAGTTAATGAATTTGTAAAATTGATTTTGGAAATCTCACAATTCTAGGTTTTTCTTTTTGCGACACCTATTTAATATAAAATGAATACTCCATAAAATTTTTTTTACAATACTTACACCACCCAAGAAAAGACCACTAACTCCAAGATAAGAACAAGTTCCAGCTGGAAATGCAAATGCATACTCGTTTAACATATATCCTAATCCTTCTACTAGATTCCCTGATTCGACTATAGCAGTTTGTGAGGTTACATTGATGCTAATTCTATTAAAGTTTGCAAGGTCAATAACTAAATAACAATCTTTATCTCCAAGACTGTAGCCTTCATAAGAATGACCACCTGATCTTGCAACGACGGGAAAATTGAAATTTAAACCACATTTAATAGTATTTTGAATGTCTAATATATCTACAGCATGAACAAATGCTACTGGAAAATTAATAACTAGTCTATTATATTCAAAATTAATGTCGTTATTATAGCCAATAAAGTTATCCCGAAAATTGATAGGTCCTTTAATGTGATGTTGGTCAAGACATTTTCGAAGGGAATCTTCTTGTGGGCATTTACTAACCGGTAGATGATACATAGTAGCATGAATAGTCACAATCAATAAAAATGCAACGTATATATATGAAATCATCATGCATTAAAAAAGACTTGTAAATAATTAAAAAAGTTTCGCAAAATTTGAGGTTTAAATATAATTTTGTCACCAGTTATAATAATAAATTTAGAGACTTGTTAATGCCACCCCTTTACATAATCTAACCCTAATTAGTAATTAGGGTCAGAAAGGTCGAATATTAAATATTTTACATAAAGGGTGGCATTAATAAATCTCTAAATTTATTTAGTATATATATAGAGGCTTTTATTATTTATTATTTATTTGGCTTAGCTTAACCAGAGACATGACCGTATAGCGCTGCATACAGTATCTCCTTGGAATAGCACCTACTAAATTGAAATCATTATTGTAGTTTAATATCAATAAGGTTTGTGCAATTACTTACGATCGACAAATTTACATCTTTCAAGAATCATTTGAAATATTAAGATATTCCCCGGGTATAAATCAAGTTAGGTAGGTTTTTTTAGGGTTTTTTTTATTTCGCCTGGATATTTTATGCAGCGCTCTACGGTATATCCAATGTCCAGTCCAACCATGATTCTTGGGCATTTGGACGTCCAATGTTAATCAAACTCATTCCAATCAAAACTATTGGACCATTTGACCAGGTATACCCTTATGTAACTGAGATTTTTTCCGAACTAAACATTATATTCAAAATTGGATGCCTACTCTTGTGGATATTATGTCGAAAATGTATTTAAATTACACTTCGAAATGATCTTTGGATAATTTAGTTATATATATTATTATGGCTTATGCAGTAACTAAGCTGTAATGTTTGAACAGCCCTAGCATCGCCATAATGTGTATAGCATAGCGGCTTTCATTCTAATTGGCTAATGTTTGTGGATCATTTGGTGACGTGATTAGCTAATAGAGTTCGAAATAAACTTTTTAAAAATTATTAAACAAAAAGATAGATTTCAACTATAAATTTGAATTTAAAATATAGATTTTTACTATATTGATACTGATAGCCATTGTAAATGTGTATCTGGTTAAGCTCAATAAAAAAAAATCTTTTTAAACTTAATTATATGTACAAATTATTTTATTAACCAAATCACTTATTAACTAATTCATAGTTTAATAGTTTAATAACAAGGTAAATAATGAATAACATAAATGAGTTAAAAAAACCGGCAACTATCAATAGGCAATACACGCATATGGAGAATATAAACAGCATAAAAAACCAAACATTAATTATAGAACAAAGCATGTAATCGTATAATACATATCCTACTTATTGTAGCTTTTAAAAACTTAGTCGAATAATCTATATTCAGAATAATGTTAAAAAACCAACTATAAGTATTATTGTTTGAATCGCTCTTTTCAAGGATTTAAAAAAAGCTTAATTAGTAAAGGTAAAAGACCAAAAGTCGCTAACTTCTGAATTCTCCGAATTATTTTTGCTATAGGTAGAATGAAAGGTTTAGTTTCAGAATTTATATCGATATGTCGTATCCTTTGCCAATCATTTTCATGGCTGCCAATTCGTTTAAAGTCAGATGGTATATGCGTGTAATATGTGACGATACATTTAATGATTGACCAATCAAAATTAAAGCCCGCTATGCTATTGTGTATAATATTTTATATATATCACAATTCTTACTTTATGAATCGTTCGATTTATTATGTGCAATATAATTTATCACATATTATATTTAATCTATATTATATACAATATATACGTTGTGCTATTAATACTTGCGTCAGATGTCGGCTTGGAAGGGTGGTTAAAGTTAGGGTCAGGATTAAGGATGGCTCTGAAAGTAGGTACTTTCGGTACGTGCCGAAATCGAAAGTCTACCGAAAGTACTTTCGAACAGGGTTTGGTTTACCGAAATGTTCGAAAGTCCTACCGAAAGTCGAAAGTCTTACCGAAAGTCTAAAGTCTTACCGAAAGTCGAAAGTCTTACTGAAAAGTCTTACCGAAAGTCAAGGCCAATCATATCTTTACACAGATACTTTTCGATTTTAAAAAAGTCACGTGATCGCTGCACTTAGAATCGACCAATGGAATTTATAAAAATTCCATTGGTCGATTTTAAGTGCAGCGATCACGTGACTTTTTTAAAATCAAAAAAGTATCTGTGTAAAGATATCGATCACAGGACATGTCCTACAATCTGCATTTAAGTATAAAATTGAGAAATACTTAGTTTATTAGATTTTATTAATAATACAATATCTATTTTACAGCTATATCAAATAGCTTTTAAGTGTATAATTAGATTTGTTCACTGCACCTTGCTAATTTATCTTTTGTTTATCTTTTTTTCTTATTTTTTATTTTTTTACTTTTATATAGTACTTAAAGCAAATAAAAAATATATATTTTTAATAAGATCATTTTACTATTTTATTTATAAGTAAGTATAAAAGTTTTACTAAATCAATATAATATTATTTTTCTTTTTTATTTAGGTTTTTTTTATAACTTAACGTTAAATATTGGATTAAGCCACAAAATTATTTTATTTTCAATTTTTTTTAATAAATTTTGCTATTTTCTAATGTTAAGATAATAACTGTATTTCTGACAAAATAAGTTATCTAAACATATTAGCAAATAAACAATATCTCAGATTTTTTTAACTATTGTAAATTGTTTAATTTGTTTAATTACTTAGAAACTGTTTTTACAGTCCTAAATAGAATTATATTTGTTATAAACCAGAATTATTTTAATATTAATTTTTTTTTTTTTTAAATATTAGCAGTAAGGCCATGTCTTTAATTTTATTAAAATTCAATTGAAGTTTTTACAAAAAAAAGCTTGCTTTTAAATTACATATGAAGAATAAAGAC